AACTGCAAGAGGTAAATAGAGGCACACTCCAGCCGGTTCAGGCTCCGAAGCACACAGGCACGCAGGGTGCTTCGGTCCAGGGTCGGGAGCAGGTGCCGGTCCGGGACGCACTTGGTATGGATCTGGATGGGCCGGGGGGCTGTGTAGGTGGGATGGTGTTCGCGCCAAAACCGCCCCAGCAGGCGTTCCACTCCGGTGTAAATATCCCCCGCGTCGAAGGCCGTGATGCCGGCCTGGGCGTGCCCTTCTAGGTCCACCAAAGCCGCCATCTCCGTCCTGGCAGCCTCTTCCGACGGTTCCTCTTCGGGTGCTGCCAGCGAGCGTGGGGCGGCAAAGACACGAGCTGCGGCGGCTGCGCGCTCCAAAGCCTTGAAGGGGGCCGGGCGGCCCTCTTCCCCGCCATGGGCCCCTCCCGCCCCTCCATCGCTCCCTCCTCCTCCAGCATGCACTGAAACCATGGTGTGGCCCGCCGATAGCTGCCAGCCCCCTTTGATCACCCGTGGAGTCTCAAAAACCCTCTTCCTTTCCTGACTTCTGGTCGCTTTCCCCGCACTCGCACAAGGCAGGACTTGGGACGCCAGCCGCCGGCCCAAGACCCGGAGATGATTTCGCGCCATCTCCCGCATGTAGACATCCCCGTCCTCCTTCCGTGATGTCACCTCTTCCAACACAGCAAGGGCCTCTTCTTCCATCCCACGCGCCTCCAAATACAACGCGCAGGCGAAAGATATGCGCTGGGAAGCATGGCAGTCTCCCTCTCCGTACTCCAGCACCGCCTGGACGGCTCTCAGCCTCTTTTCCTTCCCTTCTTCGTCGCTGCCTCGCACTCCATGTTCTTCCTCTTCTTCCAAAAAAAGCGACAAGATGTTCATCATGCCCACCCGCCTGTCGTGCCCCTTGAATCCGTCGTGCAAGCCCGCCCTCGCCCCCTCCCACGCCGCCCTCCCCTTTGGCATCGGCGAGGCATCTCCACAGGTAAGGCTCCAGGTCGTCTGGATCGACTTGACAGCAAGCACTGAATTGATCTGCAGCAGCGGCCCAAGCTCCCTTATAGTAGAGAGCAAACCCTCGTTCCCACTGAGAATGAAAGGAGAAATCGAAAAGATGTCAATTTGGTGGTTCATGGGAGTGGCTGTGGCACAGGTACGTTTGCACGGCTCGGGCGGCATCAGAATCAAACAGTATTCTATAACTCTTGTGTATGAATGCTTTCTCAATCGTCTGCGGTACATATCTTGCACTTGCTGTCCTAACGCGGTAGTGGCATCTCTCCAATGCCCGGGGGGGAGGCTAAAGCCATGGGGCGGTATCACCGATAACGAAGAGATCTCACGATACGCCTCACGACAATCACTCACATCTCTCTACTTGAGCTTTTAAGCTTTCTTTCTTTTTCATCCCCTCCTTTTTTTGCCAATCCCTCCTCTCTCTCTATTTGCCTCCCTCCGCTTTACCGCACAGCTCCGTAGCGTCGGCGAAATGAATAGCGCCGCTTCTATAAGCTGCAAAGCTGGCTCCAGAGGAGCGTCGCGGCGAACAAGTTCTGCACAACCCCGGGCTAAAAGTTCTCGAGCCGTCTCCAGCCGTAATTCTTCATCCATCTCCTCGTGGTCCTGTTCAGGAAATTTCGGGTTGGCGGGGATAAAGCGGTGGATAATCTGCCGAGCCCTTTACAACCCACTTCAGTTCCACATTCATGTGTCAACACGCGTCAACAGGGTAACAGAAAGAAATGTACCAAAAAACAGACATATTGTAAGGGGACCTGAATTTCCGGCTAAAGTGCGACCAGTAAGGAGCGTTGCAGGCACGCAGTGTACGGAGTGCGTCGTCGGTCTTTTCGTGTTGAAGGTCGGAGGGTAGGCCGGAAGCCGGGAGGTTATTTGAGGTCGCGCAAGAAAATGAGTACATGGCCAAACACTGGTGGAAGCAAGTCATGAGCACGAATAAACGGTATACTTGCCTTGATTATATGCAAATTTGTGGATTTCAAGTACTGTGTATCATTCATAAAGGTGAGTCGACGCGCGGATGTACGATATAACCCCCCTAGCCTCGTTCTGACCATATTTCTATTTCTAAACCTTGTTCCATGGAATGGGTGGCACTTCCGCACGATGTAGACGTCTTTCGATTCCCTCTTTGTCACAAGAAAACATAACTTTGGACCAGTTCACACACTCTGAGAAGGGTTTACAAGAGGTGGCGGCAGCGTGGCAGAGCTCCAAGACCCACTGCACACGATGACAGTCTTTCGATAGAGTACACAATGTGCTAGCTGCACCATGGTTGAGATTTGTAATCCAACGTTGCACAAACCTATACATCTTTCGTAAGATACAGTCAGACATGGGAGCCGGAGAGAGGAAATACTTCTGATACAGGCTGTAGACGACAGGGGTACAGCTCCCCTGCCTTTTGGTGTCATTTATGCCATGACAGGCTGGTATCGTGCATGTCTTTCATTCCGATGACGGATAGAGGACTACAATAAGAGATGTGCATGATAGAAAATGGGAAAATGAAAATATGTGTAGGAAAGCGTCACCCATGCGTTTGGGAAAAAAACCTTTAAATCGATCAAAAAGTGCTCTGCGTTTCTGAAGTTTTTGTCTTCTTCGCTGTTCGACGGACAAATCATCTTCTATTCGTTTTTCAATGCATGTACACCCTGATATACCCCGGCATACATCCACATGTACACCTGGGCTACCAGGCTAATCGTTATCTGGGGGGGCCACGACGGCGCTTAAGCATCAAGTTTTACCCCCCCGGAGCACATGCCGGTGCTCACGCAAAAAAGTCTACCCTTTCAAAAAACACGTGAATACCTCCACGGCCGAGTGGAAAATGCGACACGCGCCGCATCGAGGTGCTCCAAGTCACTGCAACCAAGTCAATCAATTCTCGCGCTACTATCGACCACACCGGTTCAATGTGAAGACGGGCAGAATGCCTGTAACTCTTTTCAATATCATACTTCTAACTGTGATCTTCCAATGAAGATTTGTTTACCATGACGAATGGAAATGCCTTTCCATTACGACGTCAGGCTGAGTGCCTAGAGGCACGGAGCTGCAGTCTTGCACACGTCTTACTCTTTTTGACTCTGCTTTCATCCTCATTTTTCTCTCGTCATACTCCTCACTGTCTATGTGCTTCCCTCGTATTTTGAATTGAATATTTCATAATTTGTCCACGACTCAATGGAGAGCAACCTGTCACCCTGTCATATTTTTTTGGTCTAGGACGCATGTTCCGCCCTCTATTTTTTGAGTCTCCCCTACAACCTCCCGCACAATCCCCCAAAAGACACCTCAAAACACACTGAGCCAAATGCCCCGACAGTCCCATCCCTCAACAACTATTTTTTACAAGGGCTCTTCTAAGAACGGCTGCCTTGGCAGCACGGCTACAGAGCGGCACGGAGGGAGTATCATACTTGCGCCCTTTCTCGTCGGCAATCTCTGTGCTGAGAGCCGTGGGCGAAGCCAACGCTGCTGGAGAGGAGACGGTCGACGCGGTAGAAGAAGAGGGGAAGCCACAGGAGAGAGGGGTACGGCGCCCGTCTTGGGCATGAGCATGGATAGAGTGGAGGCTATCCTGGACGTGACGCATGTGGATGCGGGCCAGGGACTGCAAGTAGGTGTCGCCCCCACAGTGGACTGTGGCCACCGCGTGCAGCAAGGGTAGAGACATTTTTTCTGCTGCCCTCGTCCCATGCGCCTCGAAGAAGAGCGCGCACGCAAACGAAGCCCGTGCGGCGGAGTGTGGGTCCCCGCAGGCACAGTCAAAGACGCTCTCCAAATTTGTCTTTCCCTTATACAGAGCAAGCACCTCCATCATGCAGAGTCTGTTGTCGTACCCGTGGAACTGATCCAGGACTGCGAGGCCGGCGTTCCATCCTTGGAGCTTGGCGATGCACTGACGAATGAAAGAGAGAGCATGCAGATTGATGGGGGCGGTTTAGTTACCTCTCGCAGGTTATGTGTAAGAAAATTTTCTTGGGCATTGTATTACAGGAATAAGCATCTCATGCCCTGAAAAATCCTGGATATTTTCCTCGGCGTACGTATCTCGATGACTTTCACCTATACGAATGCCCTCCGTTGACAACGCACCAATGAGCGCCAGAGAAAGGGCTCGCAGTCATCCGGATCCAAGGACGTGCAATAGGCGAACTGGTCAGCTGCTTCTTTAATGCGATTCAAATATAGGAGGACGAAACCTCTTTCCCACTGGAGAAAAGGGATGGAAAGGAGAGGAGAAAGCCATGGGCAAATCTAATGAGTGCAGATTGTTTCTTCTAAGGAAGAAAGTGTCAAGTAGTATTTCAATAGCACAATACATCGAATTTCGTCAGACTACCAACTAGGACGGAGGACCACCCTCTACGAGCTTTCATCGTGCACAGATAGCCGGGTTTTAGTCCACATTGCTAGATACCATAGCATCACGACCTTCATACCTCAAGCGCCCACACATCCCAACCCCTTACCGCATGAGCCCGCAGATGTGGAGCGAGGCGTAATGCACAGTCAAATTTGTCTAGACATTGCTGAAGGTGTCGGCTGGAGTCAATGATATCGGTGCTCTCTTGAGTCTGCACGAGCAATGAGGCCCCTTCGCAGAGCAAGCCCCTTGCACGGTCGACTCGCTCATCGTCGTGCACATGATGGTGGAAAGTATTACTACTGCACATGCTTCTTGTGAAAACGCCTAAATTGCGTCGTGGTCGTCACTATTAATGTGAAAGGATTTGAAGCGGTAAATTAGCGCAGTGAATATAGTAGGATTACCCTAAAACGATCTGGATGACAAATCCATTTAGCTTGAAGATGGAGGCCACAGGTACAAAGCTTAGGATAAGAGAGCACTTTTTCGACTAGCAACATGTGACTCTCCACCAAAATGTGCACATCACATCATTTAAAAAACAGAGCGGCTCTTTCATAATCGAGGACCGTCATACGTACCACAATCTGTCCACTATCCCCCATTTCGTAGTCGAATCCAGTTCGATAGCGTCAGTTCGGGGGCCTCCCTCCCCCAACCAGACACTGCTGGCTCGGGCGCGAGGTGTATTTCACCTTGCCATTCAAGTTTTTGCCAGTACGTTCTAGCATTAAAATGGTACTCGCTTCTACTCACGCAGCCGTTGAATTTTTCACAATCCTTTACCCATACATCCACCCACAGCAGTGGCTTTCCGGGCGGCTGTTTTGACATTGACCAGCACGAGGGATTGGGAAATCTTCGGCTCCTTTATTATTGGGCTCCAATAATTCAAAATTATATTCGGATTTCGAGCTTCTCCCTTTTTTTGCGCGAAGTTCGACCCAGCCTATTCATGGAGCTGCCCACTTATACGACTACCCCTCCTTCCGGAGGCATACACTATACATTTCAAGCCGAGTATTTTTTATCACTCAATTTTTTGAGTCACGTTTTGGTGGTTTCGAGTCTCAGCCCGACGTTTATCCGTGATATTCCTGTCATTCTTACCCTCATCATCAAGCATGCACTGTACTTAGACTGCTATATTTTGATTGAATCCCTTTCAGCACGGAATATCCGCGTGCAGAACGTAATAAACTGGTGACGGCATTGATCTTGCACCTTGTCTCATTTCATGCGCTTTCTCGCGCCCAGATACAGTAAGACAGGAATCATGCTCAGCACCGCAAAGTTCTCACTGCTCCCGCAGCGGCGCATGTCTTCTATAGTTTTGGATCTCAATATTCGATCTAAAAGAATGCAGGTAACATTAAGGAATGCGAATTATCTGCTTCACTCAAAAAAATCGGGCCTACAAGAATCTTGCACAGCCCGCCTTTCCTGCCATCTACAGTATGCATCATTACCAACATCTTCCGCCTGCCGCCTTCGAAGCCTTCCTGGACGAGGCTACCAATCACCTCGCACCTTCTCTTCCACGGCAGGCGACGGAAAGGCAGTATTGATTTATACTGGTGCGCATGCAGGCGTCATTCGCACGCTTAAACGCGTCTCACTGACCACCTGTATCATTGGTCTTTTTTCAACGCCTTTTTTTCTCACCTTGGGATCGGAATCCGTACCTATGGTAGGTAATAATCAGAAAATGGGAATCTATTTTGCGCGGGGTGACTCCAACACATGAGTAGGCGTAATCTTATTCTTACGCGCGCGGATTTTTTAAATTGAATATGACTTTAGTGACACCTTCTGTCAGAAAAAGGGCATGCACGAGTGTAAAGTTTGTATGGGCTGGATTTCTCCTCATACTGTACGTCTCCATGCTCTGCTCTTCCAAAATTATCCTCACTGTCACGCCCCCTAGGCTGCTAACGTCGCGCTAACTGGCATTGTCCTTCTGGCTACGTGCGGGCCCACAATTCTCCTTCATGCCTTCACCAAACCTTACATTTTTGCTCTGCGTGTCGCTCCATTTGTGACCGCCGATAACGATTTGGAGATTTCTGACAGCGGTGATAAGAGTGACAGAGCTGTGAGGAGAAATACAACTCCCGACATGCATTTTTCGGCAGACACAATCGACTTTCTCTCTCGTCGCATCACCACCTCTTTCAACTTGTCTGATGTGAAACCTCTCCCCAATTCCACCCGTCCCTTTGTCAGCTTCAGTGCACGAGACCGCTTATATTTCGTACACGGGGAAACATTCCCTGACAAACACCTTTTACACAGTTTGCTTGGACGTCCTCTTAAAAAAAGTGAGCTCGAAGGCAGTGAACAACCAAATTAAGGGCCTGTAAAAGGAAGTTAAATCTGATACTAAAACACGTACAGGAGCTTAAATAACTTTTTTTGCTGCTTTAATTTTCTTTCGAAGTATTAATTATATAGGACGACGTGCTAGAACTTGGAGGCAAGAAGCTGCCGGTAGCTCTGGCACGACCCAGGCGCACGGGAGACATCGAGTGCCGTCCTAGGCCATAAAGTGGGGACTGACTCCATTCATCTTTATGTTGACGTAAAGAGTTAATATTTCATTCCTTGTGCGACACATTCGGATTGCGTTTGGGAAGGAAAATTCTCTACAGGGGGCTGGTGAGGTACAGCAACCTCCTCCCCACATTCGCAGGGTCCAGCCCTGGTGGAACACAACCTTTGCGCACATTTCTATTAATTCAAATACTACACACTAGAGAGTGATAACACGGTAAACTATTTGCCATCAATATTCTTGAGACATCATCGTATTTTAAAGGGGTCAACGGTCTAAATCTTTATCTTCTTTACACGCGGGTTCATACATTACAGGAAAGACGATGGCGACCAAGGCGCAACAAAAAGAAAATCTTGAAAAAGTCACAGACTATGTTGAAGAGAGCGTGCTGGATGCGGACCGTATGGCAAAAGCCATGTCTTCCCTGGAGAGTGACAAGAGCGGTGCACGGGCAGCAGCCGCTAAACTAGCGAGGTACGGCGTGACTTCATTTTTTGCAAAATTTGGTAACGAGTGGAAAGCAAATCATGGAAACACTCAGAACAGCATATGACGAGTCGGCGTACTATTTGAGCTTTTTAAAAGAGACAGCTATCCACACTATTGACCTCTCATGGAGTCGCCAGTTGTTTATTCACCAGCCAAGACTTGACAGTGGTACTCTCCACATCCTGTATCTTAAGTCATTTCCTATAAAACGGGGGAGCCAGATCTCATCTTTTCTGAAGAGATTTTCTAGTCGCTCATCTTCTCTCTTTTCTGAACTCCCTCTTTTCTGTATTCTTCAAGTAGCGAGTGGGCTGCGGTCAAGGTGAATCCCAACGACGTCAAGTTTATCGTAGGCGAGTTGGAAGTGACCAGTGAAGCGGCAGAACAGGCACTCAAAGAAAGCGGAGGAGATGTGGTAAAAGCGTTACAACGACTTCTACCCTGATTTAAAGTCGACTGTGCTTTCATATGGCAGAAAGTAGGGCGAAAGAAACATGTAAACAGCCTTGATGCATGACATGCGTCCGGTGAGTACCGGGCACTGCTTTGTTCGTACGCACGTTCTTCTGTCTACTTTAAGTATCTTAAATCCCTTCGTTACGGATGTTTCCGTCCACGTTTGACACCCTCCTGCGATTGGGTCTTGATATCGTCTACTCCGGTATTGGGTGACCCTCCCTTTGTATGGCGAATACTCGACCTGGGAAGTGGCATTTGTATGCTATCTTGCTGAAAATTGCTTTGAATTCCGCATAGCTGTCGTTCCTTCGCCCTTTAAATGATGGTCGAGAAGGGCCGACAAGAGCTTCGTCGTAACAGTTATGTGATTGAAGGCAAAGGACGAACGTTTTGAAACTGTTGGGAAGGCAAGAAAATGATGATTCTCCCATGTATATTTTTCTCCCTTGTGTTTAATTTTTCTTTCGGGATGATGATAGGTATATGCTTTGCTAATACCTAACTAAGGACGCGGTCCTCGCGTTCATCCCCTCTACATCACCCTCTTGTTTGATACACTTCCCACGTCCATTGGAGCCCATATACACCTAACAAAGAACTCTCAGGGAGCGCACCCATTCCGCATATGAGAAGTTGACATGCAAGTGGTCCGTCCGGCGCGCGGGAGGGAAGAAATTGGGGGGTTGGCTTGATTTAGAAGTCGACCTCTAATGAGAAGACTTGATCCTCGATGTTCCCACCTACGCCGCTCTTGGCATATTCACCCACTCGCTTTTCGAAAAAATTCGTCTTTCCCTGGAATAGGAGAGTGTGGAAACAAAAAAGGAAGGACAGAACCAGGACGAAAGGATGGGCGCAAGTCGGACCTATTTTGTAAGGCGAGATACTCCATTCCCACTCATGACGACACCGCTTTTGACCGTTTAACGCCCCATCCTACCTGCAAGGAAATCAGGTCCATCCAATCGAAGGGGTTGCGGGAATGGTACGCCTTCTCGCAGCCCAAGGCTAAGAGGAGGCGGTCGGCGCAGAACTCGATATACTCACACATGAGTCGACTAAGAGTAATAGAGCGCACGTGGGGGAATGTGAGACACGGAAAGGAAAAACGTGCGTGAACGACGGCAGCGAGCATGCAAAAGGGGGCGAACCGATTTAAGGGAGGGGAAACCGGAAGGAAGGGGTGGTCTGCATAAGTTGGTTCGATGGATGGACGTCCGTCTTCAGAAATGGGGGCCAGACTCCGTTACAACGGCACCAACCAAAGGGCAAGATCGCTGGCACAGGTGGAATCAAGGAGGAGAGTCCTCGATCGCACAGTGTTCGGCCACTCCACTCACCTGTTCATTCCAATAAGCTCCACCGGCAAGGCGTCGGTGATGAATTGCTTCTCGATGGCCACCGCGTCTTGGATGATTGCCTTGACCCGCTCCTCCGGGCATTTGATCTTGCATTTGGTGTACAGGAGGCAGGCAAAGTCGCAGTGCAGGCCTTCATCCCGGGAGATGAGCTCGTTGGAGAAAGCAAGGCCCTGCGGAGGCAAGACAGGGATACATTGGGGGGATAAGAGGATCAGGGAGGGTCTGACGTACTTCGCACGAGCATACCCAGCATGCTACCATGATAAGGTTGTGGTTTTTGAGGTTCAGATCCGCCCTAGCATTGGCTCCTTTCCCCCCTCAACACCGGCACACCTCCCGATCTGAATCCCTTCCTACCGGCATCAGGCCCCGCTTCTTCAACCAGAAAATCGAGCAGAAGGAGCCGGAGAAAAAGATGCCCTCCACGGCTGCAAAGGCGATCAAGCGCTCGGCAAAAGACGCGTACTTGCGGTCGCACCACCGGAGCGCCCAACGCGCCTTGCGTCGGACACAAGGGACGGTCTCAATGGCGTTTAAGAGCTTGTGTTTCTCGGATGGGTTCTTGATGTAAGTGTCAATAAGGAGGGAATACACCTCACTGTGAATATTTTCGATGGCGATTTGGAAACCGTAGAAGCATCGAGCCTCCTGTTGGGGTGGGCGGTTGGTGGAGGAGGCAGAGAGGAACAGAATGAGGATGGCGCTCTATCAGCATGGCGCGGTTGGAGAAAGCGCACGTTTGGAAGGACGTACAAAGGGAAAGACAATCAGACAGCTAGCAAAGAAAAGCGGGGCAGCCATGGCTCACGCACCGGTAACTGGATCTCGTTTGAGAAATTCAAGGCCAAATTCTCGTTCACAATGCCGTCCGAGGCGGCGAAGAAGGCGAGGACGTGTGAGACAAAGTGACGTTCGTTGTCCGTTAACTTTTCCCAGTCCGTCTTGTCGTGGGCGAGGTCGAGCTCTTCGGCCGTCCAGAAGGAGGCCTCGGCTTGTTTGTACATATCCCAGATCTGTCGCGTGATGAGGCACAAAGCGAGGAGAACATGAGACGGAAGCGCAAAAGAGAGACAAAGAATGAGGGAGAATGGTCTGAGCGAATGATCCTGTCTACCCGGAAGATACCGGTGCAATGAAATGCAGAATCTACATTCATGCAAGCACCAACACGGGGAGCTACGATTCTGAGTTCAGAATGCAGAGGGGTGGTACTCTCCAAACCCTACCAAGGGCGGCAAGATTCCCGGTACCTCTTCCCAACCAGCTAAAGAATATGCATGGTATGCTTTACAACCTTCTGCGGGACTCATCAAGATCGACGGAGGGGAGCATAGGAGACAGGGAACTGGTTGTCCGCGAGTGGCGCACACCACTCTCACTTACGTCTTGATGTTGGATGGGGAAAATAACATAACGCCCTGGATTGTCCTTCAGGAGGAGCTCATCGTCCATATCACCGGCCAACTCCCGAAGTTTCATGTCAGAGGGTTGCAATTCGACATCCTCCTCCGGTTGGGCGGCAGTGCTGCCAAGGGACAGCTTTTTCTCAACTGATGCAGCCAAGTCTTCAGGACTGTTCGCAATGTTAGAATGCTCCGTAAGAGGCATATTCACTGTTGAAATTCCGAAAGCTGGCGGTGAAGCAGGTCCTATGTGGTTTGTGGGCGTGTGCAGGCGCAGAATGAGTCAGTCTGCGGTAGACGAGGAATTTGATGGACAACCAACACAAACGCGAAGAGCGATGCAGACAATCATTTCCAATTCCTCTCAGAAAGAGGCTACAGTGATTGCATGAGTACTTGTCGGCGATATACAAGCTTCTTGCACATTAAATCGACTTGTTGTATTCGTCAAGCGAGGAAAAGCATCAGAGTGTCAAGAAGGATTTGCGGGGCAGTAAGAAGCGGGAGTGTACGCTTGAACGTCAAGGGCACGAAGCGCAAAAATACACACCATCCATACTGTTGAAGGCATTAAACTGTAAGGAAAATGCATCCCTTCATGCAGGCACAAAGCTGTGTTAAGGCAACAAAACGATGCCACGGAAAAGCAGGTTGTTTACCGCCCTTGTCCCGGAGCGCACGGGCTAAGGAAAAGGAAAGTGGCCGCGTCTCCCGCCGTTTCTGGGCCGACCGTTGCGAGTTCATACGAGAAAAAATGGCGGGAAAATCTTTCTTCCATTCACCTCCAGTTTGGCCTCGCGCCCGGCTTCTCGAAGGACGCGAGGCATGATACTTCACGTATTGTGGGCTACTTACAAAAAAGTGGCACGCAAGGTCGCATTATAGGCTCTTCTCGAAAGATCCCCGAGACACATGCACTTCATTAACCGATTGCCGTCATACAAGACAGATTCCAATTTGTGAAGTTTTGGCGCGAAACATGCACAGGCGTTATCGCCTACTTGCGACCGCGTCGTTCCATCCTATTCAAATTCGGGAGCTACCTAGGTATGGGCCTTCGGAACCGGCAACGAACTACCACTGGTCAAATCTAAGTTGGGATACTCTTTCGGCATGGTGCAGTGAATTTATTTTGTACTCCGGAAGCAGAGAAGAAAGGAAAAAAATGGAAAGTCTACTAATGCCTCTTCTCGCTTATGGTCTGTGTCGAGTAGGCATCACTGGTGGCTCACCCATCTCGTAGGTCTTCTTCTAAGTCCGATCTTCCCTTGAGTGGCTGTTGCGTTTTCATAAAATTGTGCCTGTGACTGGCATTTTGATGGAAATACTCCTACAGCTTCACGCTCAGGGGGCCATCCGGTTTGATTTCGACTTCAGTAAAGAGAAAGAGCAGGGCACTGACTTATTCGATCATTTCTCTATTCAGTGCTTGGACAGATTAAAACACACCATGAATGCACCCTGCATTTGCAGCCGACGAGGTTGGCTGCTCTGTTTATGTTGCTGGGTGGTCGCTGCCACCTCCACGTGCCCTCTGGGGTCGGTAACCATTGGCGGGGTGAAACTCGGCGTACCTAGCACCCCTTTGGACTGGTGCCTGGGTTACAACACCACAGTGCGGCCCAATACGGATTTTACAATGGTCGGGGTAACTATAACGCCGCAAGGTGACGATTTTCTGGTGGAGCACGGGCGTGGCCTCTGGAAGTATTTGGACATTCGAACGGACATCGCAGAAAACACGACGGGGACCATCTTTGAGAACTTGTTCGGGATGACCTACTCCGAATACTCGGCCATTCCTGCCGTGAGCAGCAACCCCGTGAAAGGATGGGAGAATCAACCAATCGTCTACTTGACGCCTAAAGACCTGGCCAAGGTCTGGATACTTACAACTGATGGAGCTGAGGGAGTCTCGGCCGACCTTCCCAGCGCACAAGGCGGTTACGCAAGTGCCGCCGGCACCATCGCCGTGGCTGGGCAAGAGTCCGGTGGACAAAATCCTGGAGCATTCACTTACCAGCTTAACTCAGGCGGGAGGCCCCAATTTAACTCGCCCATAACGGCCTTAGATCCGGTTTTTGCTGTGAACCCAGCCAATGACGACGGCAGCAACGGAGGCTTCTGGCAGATCTCCAACTTTGTGACCACGCCCAGCGTCCTTCCCTGCTTTGAAACGCGGGCTGGCAGGGCACCACAGTGGACGACGCCAAAAAGGCGATCCTTTATAACCCCTTCTTCCAGGCCAAAATAACCATGTTCTGGGCAACGAAAAAGATCGACAACGTGGTCTGCATAACCGGCGACAACACTCCTTGCACGCCCAACCAATCGGCATGCACGGGGTTGGATTGGATCCAGTGTAAACCGGACTGCTTGGCGGGCGCCCTTTGTAAAGGAGACGGCATTTGGAATGCGCCTTTAGTGGACTCGATGTTTAACATCTTGACGGGCGCGGATCAAACGGCGCAGCGTTGTAACGGGATGCCCACGAGTCTTTTATCACAATTTGGGACCTATCTAGCCGCCGTCGATCTCATTCAGGCGGGCTACGTGCCTACAGCCCCTTCCACCTGGTCGACAGACACCAACTTCAACGTGGCCTGTCAGAGCATGCCTCGTTTCGTCGAAACGACCTGCAATTGCGGGGCTCCCTGTCCCCCCTCGGGGTATCCCACCCACTGTAGCACCCTTCCCTACTGGGCGATGCCGACTAGTAACGGGAATACTTGCGGTGGACAAAATTGTTTGGATTATCAGACGTCAGTAACTGGCTTCCCAATCCCAACGGTCCCGTCCGGCATCGTGTCTGTGTCGGCTACGATCTTGGCCCCTGCTGAAAGGCGGCTTTTGGGGGGGGGAGGAAGCAGTAGTGAGAGCCTGAGCCGATGGACAATGCAAGAAGAGCACAAACGGCGCCTTCCTACCCTCGTATTCGATAATTTTGTGTACAATAGCGGACTTTGCACAGATCCATCAGACACCACCCTGAATACAACTGCGGACTTTCCGATAGCATGGACGAAAGCTCCTCTTGCCGATCAGATCAAGGCCTTCATCGCGCAGCAAGCTAGTCTGAATAATGTGACCATTTGTTCTTTGACGGTACTCAGCGTCCGCTACGTTTCACGGAACATATGTCAGTCACTTCTCAAGATGGAAAAAGCCTTGGCGCTCAGTCTTTGCAAGAAAGACCGTGTTTGTCGCAAGGCAGCACAGACCAACTACCGGCTGAATATGTATGGTTGCAAGACAGCTCATAAATTTTGCCGGGCCACTTTGAAGGAGCAGCGGAAAAATTCCTTGTTGGCCTGCAAGCAGAGTTCGCCATTTAACTTGCAGTGCCGCAAAAATGCTACGGGTACCTTCAGGCAGCTATCCAAAACCTGTTAAACAATATGGTAAAAACGACTTATTGGAGAGGTATTGATATTTCTCGGTAGAGATAAAAGAGAGATTACTATGCGTGGCATAGCAAGGCACCGGATAGCCCACCCTGTGTGAATGAGGCAATAGTTGAATCACAAGGGGGGGAATCCAGCGAACGCGCTTTGCACCTTGACGGGTATATCTTGTTTTCCTCTTCTTCCTTGTGGGTACTGTGGATCTGTATAGCTTATTACCATACTAGGAGCGGATGGGCGTTAGAGGGTGGGACTATTGCCCAAGGCCTTGAAGACTTCGTGAAGTTATTGGCTTTCGCATGCGCGCTACGTGATTAAAGACGTAATCGCGATATAGAGGCAATCCGCACAGTTCTTGTTCCTTTTTTGAACTCTTCAATGGGTTCACAATGGAAATGACACAACACTTTCCCGTAATCGTTCCTCAACCTCCGATGAGCTCGTTGCAAAATTGCTCAGAGGGCGATCCTTCCGTTTTAATAAATAGTCGGAAATATCGAGCGCGGTTTCGATTGACGCGCTATTGGATTTTTTTTTTTTAAATATGGACGAAAAAAAGGAAAATAGAGTCACTACTGGGCCGTCGTGGTCCTTAAGTGGGATCTTTGCATAACCAATATTTTTCAAAGCCTTTTTACAGAAGGATTTTCGATTTCGTGCAGCACAAAAATACAGGTGCAGCAGTGTAGTCAATTTTAGTCATGGTGAAGGCGTCCTTCGCAGCAGCTCTTACCAAAGAAGAGCATATCTTTTCATTCTAGATTTATGCATGAAGCTTCAGTCATAAGATTTGGAGGATTTTTTCTCCTTTGATCATCGGGTCATTCAGTTTCTTATTCCAGGTGAAATTTTCTATTCACAATCTTACCGTAATACTTTCGTCTTTTGTACTAGTTTGACAACGCCCCTGCCTATCACTGATGACATGCCTCCTTGCATGTCCCTTACAACGCATTTTAGGAACAATTGTACATTTCAATGCCCATCTGCCGTGATTAGCTTTGACTCTTTTTCAAAGCCTTCTCTGTGTTTCGGTCTCCTTTTCAAATTCTCAACGGCTAGAAAACCGTTGGGCGAAGAAAACGTCCCCGCCTCCCCGGCTTCCAGGCCTCCTTTCTTTCTCACCATCCTTGGAGGCTTCGTGCACTCCAGCTTTCAACTTTTCGGTTTAAAAGGCGAGTAGAAGATTTTTTATTGTTTCTATATCATTCGTGCTGTGTACTTTCCAAAACACGTGTTTGTCCTGGTCCTTCTTTACGTTCTCGCCAGCAACAAGGTGGCGGTGCCGATACTTCGTCCAATTCGACGGAGGGATTTGGGAGAGATATTTCGATCACACGCAAGGACTCACAGGAAATATGGATATCCCACTTATGCTTTTATTGCGTGCATACATACAAGAATTTATAATATTAAGGTTGCCTCTTTTTTTTGCTTGACACCCGCGAGTCAGACTTGAAATCGAGTGCAGGACACGATAGAGGCTAGATGGGAAGGACGCACGGCATTACGCCACCACCACCTCCACTTAACGAGATAAAGAGGTTGACGTGTCCTCTGAAAATTTTTATGCGCGCACATTAATCTTCAGAAACACATACAAAGACGTGCAATGTCGCGCATGTGTTCACATGCTGGCTCCTTTGGCATTCTGACGAGCAATCCGAAGTTACTCCAGTCACAACATTTGGAAAGCTCGAAATCGGTCGTATGGCTTCCCTCCCCTCATGATCCTTCTAAATCTACCCACATATCGACATCCGCAGGGGGACGGAGGGCCAAAGGCTAACGTGGGCCTTGCGTCCCATACCCTGGGGCGGTGATTCGTGCAAAGTCACCAATCACGTCCTTTTACCCGCTGCATTCGGACCCTTAATTCGTGGTTCTACAATTCCTGGAAGAAGAAGTTGCAAACATGGCAATGACATGGCTGAGAGGTGGAAAGGGAAATGGACCAGGAGGGGAGAAAGTCGTCGTCGATGCCGAGGCTAAAGATAAAGCTGACCGTATGCAGGCGTATCTGGAGGAGAAATACGAACGCTTAAAGCGGGACAAAGAGGAAGAGCAAGACCGACGGGCGAGCCTCGAGGAGACAATGGTAATCAAGAGGGACGAAGAGAGGAGACGTGTTGGCCTGTGGTAGAGTCATTGATCCCCGTGTGACTCGTTTCCTTGTGGTGCATTGGCTTCCCCCATGTCTGCCATAATCCGATTTACATCCCTGCTCGGGCGCACCAGTGCTCGCCATTGCCTCCTTCATTTCACCTCCCCTTAAAAAGGAAACCTTTTCTACACATGTCCTCGTTTAGGCCCGGCTCAATCTGGACGACGCGCAGAAGGAACACTACCGGCAGGAGCTGGAGCGAATGGAGGCAGAGTACAGGACTGAGCAACAGAGGCGGCTAACCACCAACGATTTTGATCCCTTGGTCATCATCGGACGCGGAGCCTTTGGAGAAGTACGTGCCTTGTGGGACGAGGGACAGGCCAAGGAGGGGGAAGAGGAAGCGAAGGGGTGGAATAGAGTAGAAGCAGTGGCTGTAATGCTTGAGGGGGGGGGGGGAGTCAAGGGAGAAAAGTTGAAAGGTCCCTGTCTTCTCCGGATTTTTCTTAGTAGTGAACGTATGGAACACCTTTCCATCAACCCTCACCTCCCCCGCACTTCCCGGTACCCTCTCTGGCAGGTCCGTCTTGTCCGAAAAAGGGCGGACGGAGAAATCTACGCCATGAAATCCATGATTAAGGAGGCCATGGTCAGGAAAAACCAGGTGGGCCACGTCCGGGCCGAGCGCGACGTGTTGGCGGTGGCGGACAATCCATGGATTGTCACCTTGCATTATTCCTTCCAGGATGACCACGTGAGCGGGGAGGGAGGGAAAAAAGGGGGGTTGGTAACGCAAGGGGGGAGGGCGATGCTGTCCTTCTCGAAACGTGTCAGCAATCGGTAGTCGTATTTCGGGTTTCGCTGAGAATGCCTTGGTGTGACCGCTTTCTTTCCTTTTCTCTCGCAGATGCTCCACATGGTGATGGAATTCCTCCCCGGGGGAGATTTGATGACCCTCCTGATCCGAGAAGACACCTTCCCCGAGGCGGCCACCCGCCAGTACATGGCCGAGATGATCATGGCAGTCGCCTCCGTGCACGCGCTGGGCTACATCCACCGCGACCTCAAGCCTGACAACATCCTCTTGGACTGGGAAGGACACCTCAAGCTCTCAGACATGGGTCTGTGCAAGAAAATGGAAACGGGGGAGGCGCACTTGCTCACCGACAATGCCTCCCTCTCCATCCATGCCTCTCCCCATGGAGCCGGGGCCTGCCCGACGCCACCGGCCTCGGCCCACTTTGCTCCCCCTCCC